TTGTCAAGGGCTGGAGGAGAGGAATGGACACAGAGCTTCAATGTGGGATGATGAAGAGGCTCTGAAGATGGAGGGTGACGATGGTTGTACAACAGTGTACTTAATGCCACTTAATTGTATACTTAAAATGGTTGAAATGATCAATTTTATGTTATGTATGCTTAACCCAAAAACACAGTCTTATAAAATACTGATAATTACTCCCAAATGATTCTCAGAATCGCGTTCGTTGTGGGCAGAATGCAAGGAGGGGCCTTCCTTATTGGGCACCTGCTGTGCCCCCATGTCTAGGCCACACACAGCACTCATTTACACAACCCCCCTGCCCAGCTGGCTGCATCCATCGTTCTGCAAATGGTGAGTCAGACTCACTGGGCTAGGTCTCTGGCCAGGGACACACAGCTGGCATGAAGAAACACCGGGATTAAACCCCAGGGCTGTCTGGTCTTCAGGGATAATGTCTGTGGTTAGACTTTGCAATATTAAACCGGAGACTACTGCTTCAAATTAATAATACCTGCCTCATATTTGTACCACTTGGGGAAACACTTCAGCTCTTTGAGCTCCACTTATGTGGGTAAAAACAAGTTAGGACAGAGGGTGAATAACCTCCTGACAGCGGTGAAGGCCACAGGGCAACGCAGCAGTGGGCCTGGCCTCTGAGCCTGTGTGCACTCAGACAGAAGTGCAGCAGAAGCCTTGACGGGTGGACATAGGCAGGGTGTGGCTGATGGATGACCAGGGCATACCTCCTAAAAAAATGTTCCCTGTATTCCAACATTGTCTTCACAAATAAAACTGTGACGAAGAAAAGAAGATGCATACATGCTAAGTCACTTCAGTCGTGTCTGACTCTGTATGACCCTATGGACTGTAGCCCACCAGGCTCCTCTGTCCATGGGATTCTCCAGGGCAGGATACTGGAGTGAGCTGCCGTGCCCTCCTCCAGGAAAAAAAGGATGGTGTTAAGACAAAACTTTTACAAAACTGACTCTGTATGACCCTATGGACTGTAGCCCACCAGGCTCCTCTGTCCATGGGATTCTCCAGGGCAGGATACTGGAGTGAGCTGCCGTGCCCTCCTCCAGGAAAAAAAGGATGGTGTTAAGACAAAACTTTTACAGTGCCAAAAAGACTCTGCAGCTGAGCTTGATTAATCACTCTGCTTTTAAAAAGAAAGCATACTCCACCTTTGCATGGAATATGAAACTTAGCCTGGTCTCGGGCTGATTTTTCATGTTCATGTGACAGTTTGAAACTGCCCAAGAGAGTGATCTTAGGGGAAAAGAAGAGGATGTAGGTTAAGATATCTGAACTGGCTGCACCACCACTTGAGGTGGTGACTGTGAGGTCACTGCGTCCTGCTCTGGAGCTTCTCCATCTGTGACATGGGGGCTGTGCATTGATTTCATAGGATTATTCTGAAGGACAGATGAATCCAGGTGTCTGAGAAGGCTTGTTAGCTGTAAACTGTCAAACCAACGTTCATAGTCATTACTAGTTATTGTTTGTTATTGGTGATGCAGTGGCTCAGTGGTAAAGAATCCTCCTGCAATGCAGGAGTCGCAGGAGATGCAGGTTTCACCCCTGGGTCAGAAAGAGCCCCTCGAGGAGGGCATGGCAACCCACTCCAGTTTTCTTGCGTGGAGAATCCCATGGACAGAGGAGCCTGGTGGGCTACAGTCCATGGGGTCGCGAAGAGTCGGACACGACTGAAGTGACTTAGTGCACACACTCGTGCATTAGTAATGTGAATATTATTAAGCAGGGATACTTCGCAAATATCTAAAGCTGCCCCTATTTCCAGATTTCATTTACGTGCATTCATTGGCTTAGCCAATTTTTACTGCATGCCTACTATGTGTCACCATTGAAAAGCTCTTGGATTCAAAAAGGGAAGCCTGCCTTTCCAGCAGGTCCTTTCCAGATGCTGATAAGCCACAGTTCCCCATCACTGCACAGCATAGCAGAGAGTAGGGGAAACTGGCAATCACAAATAAAACCACAGCCTCATGGGCAGCCCTTCAGGGTTGCCAGCCAAGTTGAGGGTGACCACCCCCTACTCAGGGGTGTCACACTAAACAGTACTAAGGAGACCGGGCACTCCTAATGACCCTGTTTCCTGAGTTCTGGGGAGCAATCCTTTTTAATGACTGCTGTAGCATCGCAGACACAGGTGACAGGACGGCAGAAAAGCCATGGACTTCTGTCTGTGTCCCTCGCTGGTTGCAGGCCCGTGGCCGATTTCTTCACTCCTCTGGACTTCAGTTCCCTAGATGATAATGTCCATCTCTTGAAGGGGTGTTCTGCAGATTTTGTGAGAGGATGTGTCCGAAGAATCTAACTGTGCTTGGCGTGTATACATGTTTCTCTGCTCTTACTTCAGGCCTCTCCTCCCTCCCCCTGCACCGTAGCTGTGCTTATTTTTTCCAGGCTGTTCAAAGCTGCTTTCATGCTATCAGAGGTACGCATCTTTTTTTTAATCACAGTATAGTTGATTCACCAACTTCCCTAGTAGCTCTGTTGGTAAAGAATCTGCCTGCAGTGCAGGAGACGCGGGTTCAATTCCTGAGTTGGGAAGATCCCCTGGAGGAGGAAATGGCAACCCACTTCAGTATTCTTGCCTGGAAAATCCCATGGGCAGAGGAGCCTGGCAGACTACAGCCACGGGGTCGCAAGAGCTGGACATGGCTGAGCGACTAAACCACCACCACGTTGATTCACAGGGTTATGTTAGTTTTAGGTATATAACATGGCAATTCAGTGTTTTTGTAGATTATACTTCATTGTAGTTTTCTACAAGATAATGGCTATAATTCTCTGTGCTATACAGTATATTCTTGTTGCTTATCCGTTTTATATATAGTAGTTAGCGTGTTAATCCTACACCCCTAATTAGCCCCTCCCTCCTCGCCTTTCTCCCGTGGTAACTACAAGTTTGCTTTCTATGTCTCTGAGTCTGTTTCTGTTTTGCATATACATTTATTTGTATTATTTTTTAGATTCCACATACAAGTGATATTGTTAATATATAATGTTTGTCCTTCTCTGTCTTATTTCACTAAGCAAAGTATTCTCTAGGTGCATCCATGTTACTGCAGATGGCAGCATCTCATTCTTTATGGCTGAATACTATTCCATTGTATATGTGTGTGTTATATGTATATATGTGCACACACCCCCCACACCATCCTAACCCAGTCATCTGTTGACGGGCCCTTGGGCTGTTCCTTGTCTTTGTTGTTGTAAATCGTGCTGCTGAGAACTTTGAGGTGCATGTATCCTTTCAAATTAACGTTTCCATTCTTTTCAGATATATACCCCGGGGTGGAATTGCTAGGTCATATGGTAGTTCTGTTTTTAGTTTCCTGAGGCACCTCCAGACTTTTTTTCCACAGTGGCCACACCAGTTTACACTCCCAGCAGCAGTGCACTAGGGTTCCCTTTTTCCCACGTCCAGAGGGACACATCTTAAGATCCAGGGTGACTTTCTCCTTGAAGTAAAATGATGGACAGGTTTCTCACGTTTCCCACCACTGTGGGAGGCTCAGGACTCGCTTTTCTTCTCCTTGAGTCCTGGGCCTGCACACTCATCAGACTGGGTTGAGGTAGTCTGCTGTGAGACATAGGGGACAGACGCGTGGACACAGCGGGTGGGAGGAGGGGGGGAGGACTGAGCGGTGCTGACGTGTGCGCACGGCCACACGTGGAGCAGGCGGTGAGCAGCGGCTGGACGGCACGGGAGCTCATCTCAGTGCTCTGTGATGCCCGGGGGTGGGGGAGGCGACTCCGGAGGGCTGGGATGTATGTGTGCATAGAGCTGATTCACTTCACTGCAACAGAAACTGACACCTTATAAAGCAGTTATATCCAGCCACCAGGGTTTACCTCTCACTTGGGAAATAAAGGCCGTCCATAGAGGCTGCTGGGCGCTCTGGGCCCTCCCTCTAGGCCCCTTGCTGACAGAAAAGCCACACTCTGACCATGGTTGTCGCATGGCGGGCAGAACTGGAGAGGGATGAGTCAAGTGCCACTCCTAGCTCTCCTGCCCCAAAGTGAGCCATGTCCCTTCTGCTCACCTTGAATTTGCCACATCTCATTTCAGGGGCGTGGGGAGGTAGGAATCTACCACGTGCTGAAAGGAAGAACCAGAAATCTGGAGACAGCATTGATGACCACCACATCCCAGCTTTAATCTGGGAAGCAATGCTGGCAGTGGGTACTGTTCTGGTCAACTAAGGATGAGGCGCAAGATATGTCACTTTCCCGATCACAAATAAGAGATCCTGATGATTTTGTGTATCCGATCAGATACTTCACATTAATTCCTTAAAATATCAGAGATGCGTTTGCTGTTATCAGAATATATGAGAGGTTTTGTTTGGGGTGTTCCGTCCGTCTTCTTCGTCTGTGCCCACAGCAGCCTGTACTGCCTGTCAAGGTGCCTCCTACCCCACCCTTCAATGATCAATTTACTTTTCACTCTCTGCCTAGACTCTGAGTCTCTTCATTGCTGCACCCCACGTGCCTGACTCAGAGCTAGGAACAAAGCTGAGCCAGCCGGGCAATTCTTCCTGTGGCAGGAGTGTGTCATGACTTCACAGGTGGAGGACCTAACCAGATTAATTGAGTCTCCATGGTTTGTTCTTGAGTATCACCCAGCGGTTCTTAGAAAACAGGATGACCTGCCATCCGTGGAATTTTGGGGGCTCTAGTGGGTGTTGTTCATGCTTCAGGCCCTGTGACTGGAGCCGCGGGAAAACTGAGATTGGTCCCTCCCAGCCCTGAGCCTTCGCCAGGCCGCTAGCTGTGGGTCTAGAGAACTGTTTGCATGGAGATCCTCTGTCTGGTTGCCTTTGTCTTCCGTTAGTTTGGGTTTCTGGAACGCTGATCGAAGTGAGCTTTTCTCTATCAAATCACGTACTTCACTTAATTCCTGTAAACTGTCAGAGATGCTTTAATCATTTAAAGGCTTTCATTTTGTTATTCTTCCCATTTAGATGCAGATGTTGGACAAATTTCCCATGGAAGGAGGACAGAAGGACCCCAAACAGCGGATCATCCCCTTTCTCCCCGGTAAGCGGGACGCGTGCTCTCAGATGAGGCCTCGAGGCTCTCATACAGCTCTTGGATTGCTCCCTCTTTGTCCCTGTCCATTGTCCCAGTGACCAGTAGAACTCAGTGCCTAAGAATATGGGTTTTGGAGTTAGATACTAGCTGCATGACCTTAGGTAAGACACTTCACCTCTGAGATCCTCAGTTTCTCCCATCTCTGGGAGTAGGGACTTCCCTGACGGTCCAGCGGTTAAGACTGTATGCTTCCACTGCAGGAGGCATGGGTTCGATCCCTGGTTGGGGGACTAAGATGCCACATGCCACGTGGCAAGGCCTCCCAAAATAAATTAATAATAAAAGGAATAATTCGAGCTCATATAGTCTGTGTAATGAGTGGCATCTATTTTAATGGCTACTGTATTTGTTTTCTGTTGTGTATAACAGATTACTACCCATTTAGCAGCTTAAAATGACACCCATTTATTATCTCGCAACTCTGCTGGTCTGAAATCCAGGCAGGTTCAGCCGGCTTCTCTGTTTAGCATTTTAAAAGACCAAAGTCAGGGTCTTGACTGGGCTGGCCACTTACCTGGAGGATTTAGGGAAGAATCCCTCCCAGCCTCACTCAGGTTGTTGGCAGAATTCGGTTCCTCACATCTCTAGAACCTAGATGCCTGTTTCCTTCCTGGCTGTCCGCCGGGAACTCAGCTTCCAGAGGCTGCCTGTATTCCTCATCCACCTTCAGGTTGGCAACAGGGCATTGAATCTCTCCTGGGCTTGGAATCTCTCTGACTTCCCCCACCTGCCACCAATGGGGAAAGTTGTCTGCATTTAAAGCCTCATGGGATTACCTTGTACCCACTTGGCTAATCCAGGATAATCTCCTTCTCTTGAAATGAACTGAGGCATATCATGTAACGTGATCCCAGGAGTGAGATCCCTCTGTGTTGACAGGTGTTGAGATTAAGAAGAGACATCTTTGGGAGCCATTTAAGAAATCCTGCCTGGCTGCCCGCCTGCCACAGCCACCAAGCACCTTTTAAGGGCCAGGCTTAATGCAGCCATCGCTGGTCCCTGCTCTCAGAACATCCCCCCCAAAAAGGTCTCACCAAAGAAATAGCATCAGGGCTTCAACTCAAAAAAAATGAGCTACCCAAACCAGTGTTATAGCTTCCAGTAATAATAGCTACCATTTATTCGATGTCTGCTGTGGGCCAGTCACTGGGCTAAGTGCTTTCATTAGTTCGTTTAGTCCTTAGAACAACCCAGCAGGGCAGACATTACTATGCCCACTTCGCAGATGAGGAAATGAAGACTGAGAGAAATTATGATCACTTGCACAAATGGCAGAGCTGGGATTCAGACACAGGTATGGCAGGCTCTAAAATGTATGCCTAAAGTCAGATACCGCAGGCTCAAATCCCAGTGTCCCTGATCATCCACTCTGTTCTCTTGGGTAAGTTACCTAAGCTCACAGAGTTTCATTTCTACACTTGCACACTGGAGATCATAATGCTACATAGATGATAAAGTTGTTTTGAGGATTAGGTAAGTGCCTGGTGTGTAATTAGCAAAAAATAAGCACTTACTACTACCTTTCTGTACAGATAATCAGCAAATTGACAATCACCCTAAATCACAAATATCACCCTAAATCACAAATATTTGGCCCTTAAGTCTTTTTCATTTTGAGGGGACAGCGGGGCAAGCCCCGAGATGGGGAGACTCTGAGTCAGCCAGGAGCTCATTCTCCCCTCTCCCACTCCAAGATTCTATCAGCTTATCACTGTGTTCTTTCAAATACTGTCATTGTTGAGTGGGTTTAGAGACAGGATAGATGTGTTTGCTAGGCCCCCATTTACTGGGAGCGTCGTTTACCTAAAAAAATTAATGTTTTTAGTTCTTCCACGGGGAAAGAACACTGGAATGTTTTCCTCTATTGGAGATAACCCAGTGTGCCGGCTGCAGGAGTCAAATCTCAGTGCCCAGAGCACTTGGCCTGGAGTCCAGCAGACCAAGTCCTGTGGCCTCAAGCAGACATCTCCCACCACCGAGCCTCAGCTTCCTCTTCCGTAAAATGGAATAGTGACCCCTGCTTCATAAGCTTCTCTCCCTGGCACATAGAAGGTTCTCAGTAAAGGCAGAAACAGGGTCCGGGGACATTCGTTTGGAATTTCTGGGTATTTCGTATCATGGAATCCTACTTAAGTGATCCATCTGGATATTCAAGTTGAAATGGGCTCTAAATGTATATTTTCTTCAAGACAGGGAAGGACAGCCGTGAGTTAGAGTTCTGCTGGACGAAAGGCAAAGCCGGCTCTGGAAAAACTTCCCAGAACAGGGAAGAACTGAGCCGACCCTCTCCCCAGCCCCTGAAAGCTTTCGTGGTTACGTAATCCTCTTCCACCCACGAGTGCATGGAGGTGCAGTTCTCGGGGACTCGGCTCCATTGGCCTGCTCAGGAGACCCACTTGCAGCTTGGAGAGACCCCGCCGGGCCCCGGGGTCCCTGGAGCATCCTTCCAGGCCACCTCTGAGCTTTTCCTCGAGGCCAAGGCCAGGGGCAGGGACGGGTGGGAGGAACATCTCCCCCTCCAAGGGGTCAGTTTTCTGCCAAGACTGCCGCGTCAGCAGAACAAAAGCAAGTTTCTTGTTAGCACAAAGGCGGGGGAGGGGAGGGGAGAACAGGCCTGTGCAATTTTCCATCCCAGCAAGAGCTGGGGAAAGCCAACTTGGCAGAGGATGTGGCTTGAAAAATAAGAATTACAGTTTGGCCTTCCTCCACTATGGAAAACAAAAGCTTGCTCGTTCCCACCAAAGGCTCTCCTCTCCTCTGAGGACCCTTTCCATTCCAGCAAGGCTGGCCTGCCGGGGAGGGCTGGGTGCAGGCTCACTTGCCTTCCTTCCTCACAACTCGCACAGAAACACAGGCCGGGGTGCGGCCCCACCAGCCTTTTGCCCAGAGGCACCAGCCAAGCGGGTGCTGGCCCCGCAGTGCTGCCGCCCAGCCTGAGCGGTACTCCAGCTCCGCCGGGGAGAAGTGATGAGGGAGCCTGTCGGTGACGGGTCTTAAGAAACCAAGTTGCGAGCTGAAGAAAAGACATGTGCCCTTCCTAGTGGAGTGTCAGGCAGGTCCTATAACCTTTCTTGTTGTTTTAAGTAATTACCTTTTTTAAGCACCTAGCAAGGGCCAAGCCCAGGGCCGGAGTGTCTTGGAGATCACTAAGACATGGGGCGGTTCTCCCTTTTTGCAGATGAAGAGACTGAGGCTCCAACAGGTAAATGCACTTCCCAAGGCGGTTCAGGAAGGAAAAGGACCCCCTGGGATTGGCCCGGGGCGCCCTGCTCATCACCCCGGAGCCTCTGCGTGTCTCCCTGCACACGCTAATCCTGCCGCGGGGCTTCCTGCCCGCTGTGTTGACATGAGCCCAGAGACTGTCCCACTAAGGCCACACGGGGAAAAGGAGAGACACTGCTGTGTCGCACCCCCAGGAGACGCTGGAGGCGCTGAGGTCCCGGTCCTCTCCCAGCCCCTGCAGGCCAGGCCGCACGCAGGTCCTCTCGGGAGGTGGTCTCTGCTGTTCCAGGGCCGGGGCTAGCACCACGCCCGCTGCAAAGGTTTCAAGTCTGGTCACAGCCTTCTCAGTCAGCCTGTACACCCCACTCTGCCCACTTCCTCTGATTTTACAGAAGGGGAAATTATACCAAACCGAGACCAAAATGTTTTTGATAGGGACTCCTCCTCCCATTTTGAGAAATGGATTAGAGGCAGGAAGCTTTTGGCCTGTGGAATTTCTCTTCACAGGCATGCTTTTCTTTTTTTTTTTTAAAGGCTTGGGACTCTCCTAGAGATCTTGGGAGATCTTGGGACTCTCCTAGAGATTCTGACCACAGGTGGTCCCACCCGTGAGGGCGGTAATTTGATTATCACGGTGACTGGGGCTGGGATGGGAACGGGAAGGCCAGCGGCCTCCTCCGGATTGGAGGCCAAGGATGCAAACCCCCTGCAGCACAGAGACCGTGTCCCCTCCCGGGAAACAGCGGCTGCCCAGTGTTGAGAAGGCAGGCCCCCCCCAGCACCCTGCACACATGGGGCTCACACGCAGCCTGCGCCTCAGGAGTCAGTGAGGGGGTGCCGTCAGTTCCAGGGAGGCCAGGTTGTAAACCCCTTCCCACTTCCCTGCTTAATTTCCTTGTTTCATTTTAAATGACACGAACGTTTTTGATTCCAGAAGTAATCAATGTTTAGGGTAGGGACTTTGGGGAAAGTATAAAGAAGAATACAAGAAGGCTTTGTCTTCCACCCTCAGATACAAGCACTTTCCTCTGTGGTGCATTTTCCTCTAGATTTTTTTCTCTCTTCTAACAGGCGTGGTGTATCAGAAATTTGACTGATTCATCGGAATTAAACCCGTCACCACTATAAAGAAAGGAGAGCTTTGTTATTAAGGAATATTGATTTCATCTCCTTGTGGGTTTTTTTTTTTTCCTGGTGGGTTTTTTTTAATTGATGGAAATGAGCAAAAAAGGATGACTGTTAGGTCGACCATATCTACCTAATTTCCTGATTGTGCCCTTTTGCCCAAGAGCAAGTTGTCTGATTATTTTACATGTGACATTAAGCATATGGTCTCTTTGGGTGCAAATCTCCTGACCACCTTGGATTGCAAATCTTCAAAAGTTAAGAGGCTGTTTCCCGTTATCTCTTCTGATTCTGTCCTGTGACGAAATTCTTTGTTGACCTTTCCTGCCGTCTTGTCCCTGCTCACCCAAGCGTGACCCAGGCAGGCAGCAGCCCCCCAGTGCCGTCTCTCCTCTCCCTGCCAGTTTTGTAACCCAAATTTGTCTCCATGACCTACCTCCTCAGACCAGGAGTAGGTGAAGTTTTCAGTAGGTCTCCGCGTTCTGCTGTCTGGAGGGCTGTGGCCTACCCGTGCCGTCCTCTGTAGCCCTGGAGACCCCCGGTCGGCCTGCATAAGCGTGGCATGGGGACTTGTCCACGGCTCCCCCCGGCCCTCCTTGCTGTCTTATTTCTGGTTTTGCCTGCCCCCTGTCTGTGTGGTGTGGCCACACTGCCTGGATCTTCAGCGCTTGAGCCTTGCCACCATCTTCCCGTGAGAAGTGGCAGATCAGAGGGAACCCACTGATTTGCTTGAAACAAACCTCACCTGTAACATTTCAGCCTCTTGGTTATTTCCCAAGACCCTTGGTGGCATCATTTATATACTTGCTTTTGCCCGTGACCCACATCCTCTGCCTCTGTGTCACATTGGAGGCTCTGGTATCACACCCCAGCACTCAGGTGTCAGCAGGCAAGCAGTGAGTGGACCTTCTGTTAGTGTTCGGTGGGGGGAGGCGTGGAGCCTCTGTGACCACAGTGACTGGGGAAGGGATCAGAGGGATTTGCTGTCTTGGCAGGAAGAGTCCACCTTCATATGTGGATCAGACATGAGTGAGCACCATGTGGCAGGGGCACAGAAGTGACTAAAACCCAGTCAGTCCCTATTTGGGCAGAGCCCCATGACTAGTAGGAAGGAAGAAGAACTTGCAAATCATCGGTGTGATGTGTACAATAAGAAAGAGACAGGACCTCTTTTTTCTTTTTTATTAAAGTGTGGTTGATTTTAAATGTGTTAGTTTCTACTCTGCAGAGAGTGACTCTGTTGTATATACTTTTTTCATATTCTTTTCCATTGTAGTTTATCATAGGATATTGACTATAGTTCCCTGTGCTAACAGTAGGACCTTGCTGTTTATCCATCCTGTATGGACTGGTCTGCTTTGCTAACCCCAAACTCCCAACCCACCCCCGCCCCTTGGCAACCACGTCTGTTCCGAAAGACACAGGAACTCATAGCCCGTGTGAAGTGGGCGAGAGTTTCCCAGCAGGGGTAGTGGGTGAGGTTGGGTGGGGAAGGTATTCCAGGAAGTGGGAAAGGCACCGCATTGCGAGAGAGCACAGCACGCCAGGGAAACGTCAGGTGAGAGCAGGAAATATACAGAGAAAGAGGAGGGAAGGAGGCTGAGCTGTGGGGTGAGGGCATATCTGAGTGTTCACGGAACTGCTCACGGTCTGAGAATATTATATTTAGACAGGGGACCTCTGATCATCAGGTCTTCCTTCCTCGCTGCCAGTCTCCCTTATCTCACCAAAACTTAACCACTAAGTCCCACTCTGTCAGACCCTTGTACTAGAGCTGTGAACAGGGTTTTGGGGGACCAGGCATGGGGTCATCCAAACCCTGTGGATGAGCAGCAGTGGGTATTGATGTCAGCCAGGAATTTAGGGACCACTTCCCAGATGGTGCAGTGGTAAAGAATCCGCCTGCCAGTTCAGGAGACCCAAGAGACGAGGGTTCGATCCCTAGGTCGGGAAGATCCCCTGGAGTAGGAAATGGCAACCCACTCAAGTACTCTTGCCTAGAAAATCCATGGACAGAGGAGCCTGATGGGCTACAGTCCATGGGGCCCCAAAGAGCCAGACGTGACCAAGCACGCACACGCAAGCATACCAGAGGCAGCCATGTCCTCATCCTCCCAAGCTGCTGAGAGCTGGTCACCGTTGCCTCTCAACACTGTATGCACTCTTGTCCTCCGCAGGCAAAATTCTCTTCCGACGAAGCCACATTCGGGACGTGGCCGTCAAACGCCTGATACCAATAGATGAATACTGTAAGGTAAGTCTGAGAAATTCCAATACTTCCCTGTGTCTTCCCCCTGGATAGTTTTCTTTTCCCCCTTCTCTTTTTCTGACTAAATGATGCCCATTGTGAAAGATCTGTACAGGTGAAAGAAATGTAAAGAAATTAGAAAAACCAATCACCCATGACCCTTCAACTCAAAGGCAACAGTCATGAAGGTTTTTACATATTTCCTTTCTTTTTGTGTGCCTTTCATTATGACGTTGAGACCATCCCATATGTGTTATTTTTGTAGCTCTTTCTCTTTTCTTTTGCATTATAAGAATTTCCCATGCTATTAAAAAAATTTCCTGGAACCTGCTTTTAGTGGCTTCATAGTATTCCATTGTGCGTGAATGTTCTAGAAGTTATTCAGCCAACTCCTGTTGTTGGACAGTGCAGCTGGCTTCCAGTCCCTTGAATGTTCTCAACCACGTGGAGCCTGTCTGCCTTTTGCTTTTATTTTGTTTGATTTGAGGTTGTGGTTGCGAAAGAAGCTTATTTTTCTTTTATTTAGCTTCCTTAATCTTTAGTGTTTGTTTCTCTAACTCAAAATCACTAGCAGTTTGATTGGAGAAGGGTGGGAATAGTGAAAACTGCCTTAAAAATGGAGCAGTGACTGCTTTCTCCCCCTAAGCTCAGGAACAAAGCAAGTGTGTTTGCTCTCTCCTCCTCTGTTCTGTGTTTGCCTGGAGACTGTGGCTGGTGTAAGCAGGCGAGAAAAAGAAATACAGGTAATATGGATTAGAAATACAGTTTTGAAAAAAAGAAAAAGGACAAAATTGTACTACCCATTTTCCAAACTTCTTATGAAGCCGCAGTAATCAAGATGGTGATACTGGTATAAGGAGAGGTACATGGACTAGTGGAAGAGAATTGAGTCTGTCAGTAAACTCTTCAGATTTATACTCAGTTGATTTTCAACACAAATACCAAGAAATTCAATGGGCAATGGTAGTATATATAGTCTTTTTAACAAATGATGGGATCATGGGATATTCATATGCAAAACAAACTTTTTTAAATTAAATTGGACCCTGACCTCACACACATGCTTAAAAAATCAAGTCAAAAGCTCAAGCTCAAGTCAAAATGGATCATAGACCTAGACATAAAATTAAAACTATAAAACTTCTAGAAGAAAACATAGAAGAGAATCTTCATGACGTTGGTTTAGGCCAAGAGTTCATAGATACAGCACCAAAAGAGAAGAATTGATACACTGGACTTCGTTAAACTTATACATATCTGTGCTTCAAAAGATGCCATGAAGGAAAGGAAAAGACATGCCACAGATTAGGAGAAAATATTTGTAAATCATATATCTGAGAAGGGACTTGTGTTATGACTATATAAAGAGCTCTTACAACTTCACGATAAGAAGACAACCAGCTTAAGGCTTTCTTGGTGGTCCAGTGGTTGGGACTCCAAGCTTCCACTGCACGGGGCACAGGTTCAGTCCCTGGTCAGGAAACTAAGATTCCTTATGCCATGCAGCATGGTCAAAAAAATTAAATAAATACGCATATAAATAAGTAAATAGTTTTTTTTTTAAGGCAGCCAGTTTAACAATAGACAAAAGATTGAATAGAAACTTCATCCATGAAGACATATGATGCTTATTAAGCACATGAAAAGTTGTTCAACATCATGAGTCATTAGGGCAAGATGAAATAAAATCATCATAAGATGCCAACACAGCGCCCCAAATGCCTGTAATCAACAAGGCACAAGAGAAAAAGTTGGTGAGGATGTGCAGCAATGAGCTCCTCATTCTGTTAGGTGTGTGGCCGCATCACATGGCAAGTGGGATCTTAGTTCCCCAACCAGGGATCAAACCCACACCCCCTGCATTGGAAGCACACAGTTTTAACGCCCAGATGGCCAGTGACATATGAAGGAATCTACTTTGGAAAACAGTTTTGGCAGTTTCTTCCAAAGTAACATTTACCACCCAACTACTCTCCGGTATATACTCACAAGAAGTGAACACGTCTATCCACACAGAGACTTGAACGCAGTTGTTCATCATAGCATTAATTCATAATAGCCCCAAAGTGGAAGCAACCTCTATGTCTATCATCTGGTGAATAGATAAAGAAAATGTTCAATAGGCATTCAATAGAATATTATTAGACAGTGCAGTGCTGATCAGTGCTACAAAATGAATGAATCTCAAAAACATGATGCTATGCGAAAGAAGCCAAATGCAAAAGGCTACATATTGTATGATTCCATTTACATGAAATGTGCAGAAAAGGCAGATTTAGAGAAAGCAGGTCAGTGGTTTCCTGGGCCTTGGGGTGGTGAAAATGGAGATTGACTGCAGATGAGGTTGGGGGAATTTTTGAGGTGATGGAAAAGTTCTAAAACTAGAATGTGGTGATGATTGCCCAACTCTATAATTTGAATTTGAATCATTGAATTGTACACTTATAATGGGTGAATTTTATGGTGCATAAATTTTACTTCAGTAAGTCTATTGAAAATTTGAAGGGGGACAGTGTGGGGACATCTCTCTTGGCAGGAGATGTCACAAAAGGGTAGAAAATCACTTCTCACTTTGCATCTGCTGTTTATCAGAGATGACCTCGTTTTGTCCCTGCAGTAACTTTGAGGAGGAGGTTTTCTCTTTCTTTTTGTGTTGATGAGAAAATGGAGACCCAGTAAAGTTACTTGCAGTAACAGTATTGGAGGCTTTGAGAGTTAAACCCAAGCCTTTTAGGACTTAGCACTCACATACCACTTATCGCCTCCCTAAGAAAGTGATGGCCCCCTGATGCGAAGAGCTGACTCATTGGAAACGATCCTGATGCTGGGAAAGATTGAGGGCAGGAGAAGGAGATGACAGAGGACAAGACGGTTGAATGGCATCACCGACTCAATGGACATGAGTTTGAGCAAACTCAGGGAGATGGTGAAAGACAGGGAAGCCTGGCGTGCTGCAGTCCATGGGTTCACAAAGAGTTGGACACAAATGAGCAGCTGAACAACAACAACAAGAAAGTACAAATTCAAGAGGCCGAAATAGCTAAGCTCATGTTTCATAGAAATAGACTTTTCCCTCTCCTAAGGAGGCCTTTAAAAGGGATGGGAGTGAGGGGCAGGGCCAGTCTCTCAGGCACAAAGAAACCACTCCTGCCTCCCCGATCTCAGAGGAAATTTCAGATCTTCCTCTCTTTGTCCTTTTCCAAATCTCTAGAGCCTGAAATTCCTCTGTCCAGGCCCTGCTGGCAGAAACTTCGTATTCTGGGGTCATCTTAGCCAACTGGAAAGTTCCCCCTGGTACCTTCACAGAAAGTGTTGTCTCTCAGCCCATATACATTCTCCCACTTCTTCCCCAGCCCAGCCAACTTCTCTCCAGAGTCACACCTTCCTCTCAAACCCGGGGTTCCCTGAACCCCTAGACACTTGATTTGGAAGAGGAGGTATAAAATCCTGGAGGAGTAAGGGACAGCAGCAGCTGCCTGCATCTGCTCTGCTTGGAGCAGTCCAGAGATCATGAATTGACCTGGATTAACCATAGGGGAGAAACTGCTTATGTTATATGAGCCACGTGGAAGTTACCACCCCAGCTATTAATGCAGTGTAAGAAGCAGAGCAGATATTTGGGGGGTTTGGTTGGCCAGATTCCCTGAACTTGGCTTCAAGGAAACTGCCCTCCTGGAAGGAGATGAAACTTTATGCCTTGTATCACAAGGCCTGTGAAGTCTTTTAGAGACTGCGCAGACCTTTATGTAACATTTGGGCTCTGTTATTGACATCGTTGTGAGCTGACTTAAGCCAATTTGATCTATCTCTGTTTTAGCATTATTTTGGTAGAAATTGGGCAGTTTCCAACAGATGAAGATACAAGAGGGCTGTAGATGTCCCTATAACTACCTACCAGCTAGGAAGTAACTTGCTGCTCTATCAGGCCTATTATAAAGCTTCTCTGATTACCATAATATGCCATCAGCACAAGGATAGACTAACCCTTGCAACAGAATAGAGAACCCAAAAACAGATCCGTGTATATTTGGACACTTTGACACTAACAAAAGCAGCTTTGTAAGATCATTGAGAAAAGGTAGGATTCCTTAGAAAATGGATGTCTGTATTGGAAAAAACAAAAAGGATAACTAACTCCTGCCTCACACTACACATATAATCATTTCCAAGTACATTGAAGACTTAAATGTAAGAGGCAATTATAAAAGGTTTTGGAAAATAAAAATAGAAAAATTCCTCATAATCTCAAGGTATTGAGGGACTTCTAAAGACACAAAAAGTTCCAAGTGTAAAACGATTGAGTTATCAGGCTATGTGAAGTTCAAGAACTTCTGTTCATCAAAAGACACAATGAAAACAAAACTCAGCCAAATCCTTCCCCACACACAAGCATTTGTTATCAAGCAGTTCCCCAAACAGCTTCTCGAGTTGTTCTGTAAACTCGGTGAAATACCAGCTGTCTTGTCTGACACCACTTTGCATGAAAGTTTTCTCAAGACAGATGCAATGATATCATAGTGGCAGGATCAGCTAATCCTAACCATGGTGTGACAGTAAAATCTTCAGGAAGAGGCGGAACACAGAGGATTCAGAATCCGAGAGCCAGGACACCATGTCGAAGCGTGTTTAATGCTGGGCTAGCCACGTTCTGTTCATGCAAGGGCCCCCCCTTATTATACCAGTGAAGAAAATTATTTCTGACAACTGTTATGCTAGTGGATAGAAGCTGCGGTGTTGGTCAGAGGGGGATATACCTGAAGCCCCAAAGTTGCCTTTTCTGAAGTGAGAACTTGTGATTAGCGTCTGTAACTTGCTAAAGTGTTCATTCCTGATGAAGGTCCTTCAGATAATAACTCACCATTGTCAGAGTATAGGTTACTTTGACACACACACACATGCATTTCTACAAGTTTGTGAGTGTTTATGTTCATGCCACAGTACTTGATTTTTTAATTTTATTCAAGTATAATTGATTTACAGTGTTGTGTTAATATCTGCTGAACATA